TAGTGATGTGTAATGATGGATAGTGATGGGTAGTGATTTGTAGTAATATGTAGTGATGTGTAGTGATATGTAGTAATGTGTAGTGATATGTAATGATATGTAGTGATGTGTAGTGATGGACAGTGATAGGTGGTGATGAGTAGTGATGCGTAGTTATGTTGAGTTACACATGGTTACATGTTACATAAATATATTTTAAGCGGATTTTTTATATTCGTGTAGGAGAACACGGATTTATTACCCTCAATCTCGTCCCCAGGTCTTCTCGGTTAACGGTGCCTTAACCTGTAAGAACGCTGCATTTTTGACGTCATTTCCTCGTTAAACACAAAATTCTTCCAAATTTGGTCATCAGTAACTGATTATGGTGAATTATGCGTGTGCTTTTAACCAATCAGAATTGGGGAAATATTTTGAAGGAATAATAAATCATAGTAATACATTATAAATGAAGCAAATTAGCTATGGTGTTCCTTGGATGACGGCTCTTTCAAGCAGGCTATGTCTTAATAAGCACTCCTAAGTAAGTATGAGGTACCTACATTTAAATGTTTTAATACTGCACTACAAGTTCTGACTAAGTAAAAGTGGTTGATGGCTCCTCGGAAGTAAGATCTGAAACAATAGTGAAAAGTCTCTAAATCCGCGTACGCAGACTGACCAACAGACTGAACTTGCGGGAAAATATTATACACTGAAACCTGTATTGAGCGGACACCCTCGGGGAATGCTGTAGTGTCCGCTTAATACAGGGTGTCCGCGTCCGCTTAATAGAGGTGTCCGCTTAATAAAGGTTTCATTTAAAGTAAATAAGGGAAATAAATTTTAGGACTTCGGCTACTGTCCGCTTAATAGAGGGTGTCCGCTTAATACGGTGTCCGCTTAATACAGGTTTCACTGTAACTCTATAACCTAACAAGAAAACAGAAATTCGGGAAATTGACCTGTAGCAACTGTTGTACCGAAAATGAATGACCCAAACCCCGTAGCAAATGTGAATGTAACGCCACACTTTGTCACAGTTTGAATGCCAGTATGTCCTTTTTCAGATGCTGGGCCACATATTAACGCTTCAATTCGATAACGGGTATTCATTTTCAAAGAAACGGCAGAGTCGAACAAAACTTCATATCCATAATAGGCCCCCAAAAGTTTTGATAGATACTTTCCTGATTTAGACACTACAGTTGTGTCTTTAGGTCCTTTAGTGGTGTCCTTCACCTCCAATGTCACTGTGTAGCTGTTGTTTTTACTACCAAACAAACAGACTCCATGTAGAGTGATGTCTCGATCCACAACTAACGCTAAAAGGTCTTTGTCGTGTCCAGAGTAAAGCCAAGTATTCTCTTCCACCGATCGAAACCTTCCACATCGGTGAATCTCGCGAAGGGCAGTACCTTGTACACGTCTCAGAGTAGTTGAAAACTCCACAGGAGAAGGCGATGCTGAGTTGAAAAACTTAAAAAGGGAGGTTATTTCATTGGTATGAAGAATGTTGGTATCAAGAACAACATCAGCAAACTCCTCTGCAGTCATCACTGGAAAGCGTATTGCTTTTATTACTTCGTCGCCCAGAATTCTTCTTTTTAATTTACCTTCTACTGCTAAACTTTGCTTCTGGCAATGTTGTGTTGCCCACCTATCTACAGCTTTAAACAAGGCTACTTCCTTAATCGTCAGTGTGTCTCTTGCGACTATTGCTTCAAGTAAAGACCTCTCAATTGTCTCAAATCCTTCCGATTTCACAGCCGCTTCGGTCTGATTCTCAATCACTTTCCAGCATCGATCTTCCAGGGCTTTTTCTTCATATTTCAGTGAACATGGCAGAATGCTGAAAACATTGGAAGGATCCAACTTCTCTTTCAGATACTCCGTGCATTTATCAGTGAGTGAAGGCACAATGTATTTCTTGGCCAAGTACAACACCCCCATCACATTACTTCCGCTCAAATTCACTTCATCGCTGTAAATGTAACGAAACAACTCCAACAGACTCTCGTAATCACAGTCAGGCAGTTCAATAGTTTCTTTAGTCTCCGCCAGGTCACCGTAAAACATGGCTTCAAACACAGGACTGCCAATCGCCAGTATAAATTTGTGAGCTCGAATCACTTGCTTACTTTCGCTTTTGCCATCTCTGTTTGCAGCAACAAACCTGACATCGCTCAATCGATCGTTGTTGAGCATGAACTTGGCTCTTTCTCTGATAGTGGGTCTTGCTGTTTGCCAGTTTGTTTCGGTAGACATATTCGTTTAGTCGGCCTGTGGTAAGACGTCAAAATATCTCGCCTTTTTTAAAACCTTTACACCTTTGAACGCGCTTTGAGTCCGGCAACAAATGATACCCGCACACGCGCAATATAAAAACGTCACGCGATCTGTCGCACAATATCACGCAATATCAAGAGGTCACGAACCCTTCAGATAGCATAAATTCATAAGGCAGTCTGGATACATGAGCAGGACAGTAACAGTGGTAACCATTACAAACCCATAAAGTATCTAAAAGCGGTGGCTGCAGCGGCTTACGGCCTGACTTCTCGGCGATTTGTAAAGCCCTCGAAAATCGCTCCGCAAAATGGGCAACACTATGGCATCATGATGAATGACCAAATCTACCCCGCCTTGCAAAGAGGTACAAGATAGTTTATTTATGATCACATCACAACACAGAGGTTGAATTAGGCGATTATTTACAAATAATTATCATTATTTAAAATACTACGACTAATAAGCTAATTTATGACGACAAATGAAAGAAACGAATAATTGAAACAATACATGAATACACTACAGTAAAATTGTGATTTGTTAAAAAATAAAAAATCGATATGATGAAAAGCAATCGAAACTTCTAAAACTATAGACCGGGAACACAGTTTAAGCTTTGAGGGCGTTGGACGTTATTACGGGCCTAAATTTCCATGCGTTTCTTAGGTTCGAACTACGGGTATTAAGAGCAGGGAGAAGGCCGTGGAGCTTGTTCTGCAGCTTTCTTAAATAGTTTGTGGAAAGTAGCCAGCGCCATGCCAGCGCCACCGAACAGTTTCTCCTCCTCTATGCGATCAGAAGAAGCCGGGGAATCTAAATGCTTGTGGAACATGTCAACTATAAACTAAGTACAGCTGTACTAGGGCTCCTTCAGGTTCAGCAGAGCCAAGATCTGGAACACGCTTCCTCTGGCCCTGATGAGCGAGCATGATTTAAATAAGTTTGAGTTTGGCCTAAAAGGGTACTTTAGATCCAAGCCAAATTGAGCCTCCAATACTTTCACTATACTTAGTTGTTCCAATTTTTTTTATCTCTTATTGTTTTTTGTGTTGGTTTTTTTTTCTTTTCATCAGGGCCCCATTCAAACCAGCCTCGCTGAACTGGGCACCCCTGAATAAATATTATTCAAAATAAAAAGCAAGTGTTAAGGAGTTCTCCCGCTTGCCCGTATTTTGCCACAATCTCCTTGCAGACTTTCAGTGCCTTAAACAATCTCTCCCTTCAATATCCCAAGGGGGCGATGTTATTTCTGATTACGTACATTTCTCCTGAGTTTAGTACAAGATTTCTAGTCAACGGTATTATCATGTCCACTGTAACGATAAGATTTGCACATAAAAGACTTGGCTCAAAATCGTAGAGAGAAGTTTGCTGTTAAATTTGCTTCTTTTGAAACGAGATAACAACGCACCCCCTTTTTAGTTGAAAGGCTAGCGCTAGAAAACTGACCTGCCTGTGAACAGGCTAGGGTCGCGGGAGGTTGGAAAAATGCATTGCAGCACTACCCTCACATGGATGATATGCAATGCTGTACCTACACACGCCAGTTTCGGGAAAAGCCTCAGAATACTGATGCAAATGAAATGATTTTTTTGATCCTCACTTTTTGGTAATAAAAAGCAACTTATAGAGTGCTGTGCCTGCCTTTTATTTTCTTTATTATTTTTGATTAAGAAAAGGGAACGCATGGGAACCAAGTATTATAAGAATTTTATTGAGCATCCCGCTTATCTCCACAATCAAAGGCAGAAAAAGAAATGCAGCAGCAAATTACAATGTAAATTTAAGTTAAAACTTCAACAATTTAATTCACTCTGATTTTATCGAATAGCGAATGATATCATAATTCCTCGTTGTACTTGTAGTGAAATTGTTTTTTTTGAAAAATAAAAATAAAAAACAGGGAGGAAACCTTAAAGTAAAGTAAAGTACTGTATTGTAATTTGAGACAAGTCTTCACGGGGTAAAGAAATTTATAGGAAGGAGACTCTTTTGCGTCTCTTATACATTGCTAATTTTTATTATATGCACAGAGAACGGAAGTGGTTGTATTGCTTTTGTAACACGTTAAACCATAAAGAACACCATAAAAGGTCTAAAAGAAGTTGTTACAGCGGTACACGGCCTGACTTCTCGGTGATATGTAAGTCCTCGAAAATCGCTCCGCAAAATGGACAACATAATCTACCATCCGTGCAAAGAGGTACAAAAGTGGCCACTGGACAGTTTCTCTATAGTTTTATATGTCATCAGAAGAAGGGAATCAAAATGCTTCAGCAATATGTTAGGAGTAATATAAGGACAAGTGGTAAAGAGCTTTTCCGTTTGTCCCTATTTTACCACGATCCTCTTGTGGACTTTCAGTGCTTGTTAAAAATATTATATCCACTGTAACGATAAAAAGAATGATCCTGGGAGAGAGAGGTTAAATCCATCTCTATGACAACCAAGTCCAATGAGGACTTGGTTCGCTCGATCTTTATAAGTTCTTTTTTAAAAAAATCAGTTTCCGACTACAAGTACAACGAGGAGTAATGATATTATTCACTATTCGAAAAAATTGGAGTGAATTGCATTGTTAAAGTTTTGTCAAAGTTTTATTTCATTTGCTGTCTTTTTCCCTACCTCCGACTGTGTGGGTCAGTTGTAGAGAGGTGAGGTGGTCAATAAAATCCATATAATACTTGTTTTCTATCCGTGCCCTTTCTTTAATATGCAGGATTAAATAGAATAGATAAAAAAATAAATCGCAGGTACAGTACCATATAAGTTGCTTTTTATCACAGAAAAGTGAAAACTAAAGAGAAAATATTTCGCTATATTTTCATCAGTATACCCCTGTTTACTGAAAACTATCATAGCCCTGGCGAGTACAGGTTTAGCCTTGTAGCGTCCCTATAAAGCTAGGCCAGCACATTAGAGAGATTAAGGTGATTCACGTTTACGCCAAACGGCAGACGTCAATTTGTACCACGTGACCAAGTTTTCCCTTATTTTCCGTTCACTCTTTATTGCTTCTACACAAAAGAAAGTAGTCATATGCCAGTTTTAACCATAGGAATCGCTCGGGACTGTTTTTATCAGCTTATTTTCTATTCTGAGAAATTCTCAACTTGAGTTTGACGTTTGCCGTTTGCGGTAAACGTGAATCTTAATCTCTCTGTTGGATTTTTCCATCTTCCCTGGGAGCCTGCTTATAGGCAACATATTTTTCCAGAAAGCCTTTCAAATGAAAAAAAGGGGTAACGTTGTTATTTTGATCTTTAAATAGGCAAATTTAACAGCAAACTGCACTCTACGATTTTTTATGCGCTAATCTTACCATGAAGAGTTTTAGTTAAGAGAAAACTAACATTGGAGCAGCCTCAGCGGCCACCAAAACAGCAGACTATGGAATTTAATAAGGCCGTATGCCACAGTGCGATTGGTGATTCCCGGAAAATAAATCAGTAGCCTGCGAAAACAGGCCCCCAGAGAGATTTTGAAAAGTCCCTAGCGGCGAGGAGCGATGAGAAACGACTGGTTTCGCCGGCTGGTATTTAAAATCAGCTGAATAGTGAAACTACTTTGATTTGATTATATGCTAAGAAAAACTAGGAAGGAGACTCTCTTGCGTCACCCTATTCCTATCACCCCTACCCTCCCACCATCGCCAGCCAATATGACTTGTTTCTGAATTTGTTCGACGTTTCTAATCTGTGCGATCGATCCTTACACTGAACGTGCCCGTTTAGCAATATAAAAAGGTTTAGAAGTTTGGGGATACACTGTGAACAACGTACTCCTCATCTAAATGAAAAACAGAATTTCGGACTGAAAATTGACGTCTGAAAACAAAGCGTTTGAATTGTTGTGGTCTTCCCTATCTAAGGACGAAAACGTAAACGAAACACTGGACTCTTTCACAATATCCTCTGTACCGAGCAAGTTACCTTCTTTCCGATCGATCCCAGACCGTGGACCTGATACCAACGCTGAACTCCCTATTGTAGGGTTTCACTAGACCTTTTCCCAAATTAAAATCTCCGGTTGGGGAAATAGCTTTGGATTACTTTGCTCTTGGTTTTGAGTACTTTCATTTTTGAGGTAACACGCCGACAAAATTGCCTAAGAGGAAGAAGACACTTGAACCGGGTTTCACGGTAAAGATACTTCTAGCATTGAAAACTGACTGAGTCGTAAAACGTTTACGATCATTTTTATCGTCTGAATAAAACCTCCGCATCAATCACCCTCAGAAAGTTATCCATCATCCACAAAGAAAACTTCGACTTCATTTGCGCTAAAAAAAGGCAAAAAAATTTGTTGTTTGCCAGTCAAAGTACGGGTCACCAAAATCGGTTCCGATGACCTATAGCTATTAAGGAATAACGTCTTGAACATCAGGTGTATTTGGGTTCCCGCATCGTGTTTATTATAAAAAAGTAATAGAATTGTTAAAAGACCCTGATTAATATTCAAAACACTAAACAAACAAGAAATTGCTAATATGAAGGAACAAGTTAAATACCACAAAGAGTAATACAAGAAAGCTAAAGCTAATGGTTACAAGGGGTCTTATACAAGTTATGCTAAAAAATGGGTTGGGTTAGAAAACCATCATTTGCATTTTCAGGATTTGGAAGTGGAATAGACCTTCATAAGCAAATTGGCAAATTACCAAAACCAAAGGCTGGATGGACATTACCAGGGCATCGGTATACAGGACCGTAGAACGATTTGGAAAATCAAGTATGGTACGATAAAGATACTGGTAAAATATTAGAAATATATGATCCACCAACAGGAAAAACAGATGCGGTGGCCATGCAGCATGTCTGTGGTGATAATAAAAAGTGCAAACATAAGGCTGACCGTAAAAGGGTAAAATCACTTGACACCATACCTTACAATAAAAGGCAATGAGGCCATTGGGTAGCCAGAAATATAATTAACAAAACACAGAAACCCGGGCTCGGTTTAAACTAAAATAGCCGTTGAGTAAAGAAATAAGTTGGCAACAGCAATTAGCAGATGAACTACATAAACCCATAAAGCGTAACTTTACTCGGCGGCGCGTTGGTTGTTGTAAACGGTATCGACAAAATTTGGTGATCAGATCTGGTTGAAATGTAACAGTTCAGCAAGTGGAACAAAGGTCATAGATATCTTCTCATGGTGTTAGATCTGTTCTCCAAACATGGCTGGATTGTTCCATTGATGGATAAAAAAGGAGAAACTGTCACAGAAGCATTCAAAAACCATCTTCAAAGAGGGGCGTAAGCCACAATATCATTGGACTGATAAAGGGAAAGAATATTATAACGAAAATTTGAAGGAACTGTTGGAAAAGAATGGCATAGCACTATACTCAACCTAGTGTTGCCAAAATCCTCGGATATGCTGACACACGTGATGTCATTAGAAAGCATGTTTCAGAAGAACGCAAGATAAAACATCTCTCAGGGCAACCGGGCGTTTCACCTGGTTGGTCGCAGACCTATTTTATTGATGAAGCTGGTTTTTATGAACTTACTTCTTCGAATCAAAATTACCAGCTGCGAAAAAATTCTGCGATTGGGTATTCTCTCATGTACTCCCATACATAAGAAAATATGGCCAGTACAAACTGTTTGACAATCCAAATAACCACATGATTATGATTTGCAATGAGACTAATTTACACTACAAAGTTGTGGATCTCATAAGAAAATTTTACCCAGATTCAATCTTAGTAGCCGGTCTCGGGGAGAATCAGGATAATGAGGATAAGAGACTCGACTCATATAAAAAAGGGATATGTGAGAGGACAGCCTGATCTGATGGTACTCAATTATCACAAAGATTTTGAAGGCCTTGGCATTGAATTCAAATCTCCCACCAATATATACCGAGTTTAAGATGCACAATAGGAGATGAAAAAACGATATGTTGATAATGGCTATACATTTATCCCGTCAAATAATTATGACAAAATATGCAAAGCTATACATGAATATATGCGGGGCATGAGAGTACCATGTAAATACTGTGGAAAACTGTTCCTTACTAAGGAAACACGAAAAACACATTATAAAGTTATCCACCGAACTGGAGAACCTATTTATATATATCCATGTATGCCATGCATTACATGTATCATATTTTGGTACTTGTATTAGGATCTTGGTAACCGGAACCTAATACAATGTTTAATTATTTTATCTACCGTATTTATATATTTATAGATCTCGATATTGTAAAATTACGTAACAAAAATTTAAATACGTTCACATGACAAGAACTAAAAAAGGAGGTAATAAAAATGAAACACCTGACCTTTGCTGTTACGCGCATGAGACTTAACCAAGTCATAGATCTTATAATTATTTACCGGTTTTTGTTTCCCCATTTATTGAATAAAACTGGTACCAAAAGACAGGCTAAGCCTAAACAAGATAATATACCCCCTGTTAGCATAAAATTACCCCATGAATTATTAGCTAAGTTGGCCAACCAACTAACTAAATAAAAAACTAACTAAAATCCGGATTACTATACTAACTACCAATCTATATTGAGCTCATTTACTAACTACTTTTTTTTTTACTTTTTATTTCGTCTTTTTTTTCGTTTCATTTTTTCTTCTAATCTACGTGCCTCGCGTTTTCTATCAAAATATTCATGTTGTTCTTTTGTTAATGGCTTTATGCCATGGCACTCTTTAAAAAATTTATGATAATCATATTCCTTGCCTTCAGTCATGAGTGTCATTTTTGTTGAATTTTTGTTACTTATTAATTACTGGTATTACTAAATATTTTCCGCAATTGGCATCTTTTAATATACGGTCGTGATTAAATGCTTCGTCATAATATTTAGCAAATTTAGGGTGTTCATATATTCGATATTTTCGATAATCATATTCTGGCTCAGCCTCAGGCTCATTTAATTCATTATTTTCTGGATTAAATTAACTGCAAAAACAGTGGACGAAGATCCTGCTAGTTGTAAACGTTGAATCTCTAGAAAAGAGATCTAATCAGCCAAAATATAAAGAACCAAGAACGAGAAGTCCAAAGACTACTGCAAAGCGGATTTAAAACATCGTGTATTGTTTTTTATAACAATATTTCGGCTGGCCATACCAGCCTTCTTCAGGTTTACAGATATATTGGATCTCATCATATAATTTATAATCTGGGTCTAGTAGCTCTTCAAATAATTCGTCATCAAATATTTCGTCATCTATAAACACAAATTCGGTATAGTATGGCTTAGCCTTGGGCTCATTTACTTGCTTAGCCCCAGGCTCATTTTTTGTATACATTAATTTAATTTTTTTCGAGCATTTTTATAGCATTTTTATGCTGGTCGAAAAGTCGATCAATATAAATCTCCATTGCACTAGGCATACTTATATATATCGATATCCCTTTGAGTGTCTTGCGTTTTAGCCAAATAATTAGTGAAAATGTGGGTAAAATGCCTCTCAGCGTGAGTAATAAATGTCCCCGCGAAATGGGGGTGAAAAATCACCGTGATAGCCATGGTACTGTTTTTAGTGGTGTCCTTCACCGCCAGTGTTACTGTGTGGCTGTTGTCTGCGCTGCCAACAAACAGACTCCACGTAAAGTAATGTCTCGATTCACAAAAAGAGCTAAAAGGTCATTTTTGTGTCCAGCGTAACCCCAATTTCTACCCCTATTCACCAAATCAAATCGTCCTCAAAGATGTCCGCAAAAGAAATGCTGCGAAGGGGACTACTTGGTCCATGTCTCAGAGTATCTGAAAAAGGCAGAGGGGGGGAAGGCAATGCTGAGAGGAAAAACCTAAAAAGGGAGGCCATTTCATTGAGATAAAGAATGTTAGTATCAAGAACAACATCAGCAAACTCCTCAACAGTCATCACTGGAAAGCGTATTGCTTTTATTGCTTTGTCGCCCAGGATTCTTCTTTTTATTTGACCTTCTGCTGCCAAACCTTGCTTTTCACACTGTCGTGTTGCCCAGCCATCTACAGCTTTAAACAAGGCTACCTCCTCAATCGTCAGAGTGTCTCTTGCGACTATTGCTTCAAGTAAAGACCTCTCAATTGTCTCAAATCCTTCCGATTTCACAAACGCTTCGGTCTGATTCTCAATCACTTTCCAGCATCGATCTTCCAGGGCTTTCTCCTCATATTTCAGTGAAGATGGCAGAACGCTGAACACATTGGAAGGATCTAACTTTCCTTTCAGATATTCCACGCATTTATCAGTGAGTGAAGGCACAATGTATTTCTTGGCCAAGTATAACACTCCCATCACATTACTTCCGCTTAAATTCACTTCATCACTGTACAGGTAACGAAACAACTCCAACAGACTCTCGTAATCACAGTCAGGGAGTTCAATAGTGTCTTTAGTCTCCGCCAGGTCACCGTAAAACATGGCCTCAAACACAGGACTACCAATCGCCAGTATGAATTTGTGAGCTGGAATCACTTGCTTACTTTCGCTTTCGCCATTGCTGTTTGCAGCAACAAACTTGACATCGCTCAAGCGATCGTTGTTGAGCATAAACTTGCCTTTTTCTCTGATAGTGGGTCTTGTCGTTTGCCAGTTTGTTTCGGTAGACATATTCGTTTAGTCGGCCTGTGGTAAGAAGTCAAAATATCTCGCCTTTTTTTAAACTTTACACCTAAGAACTCACTTTGAGTCCACTAGGAGCAACAAATGATACCCTCACACGCCCAATACAAATTAACTGTGATTAAAAACGTAAAGCGATCTGTCGCACAATATCACCCAATGTCACTCAAGAGGTCACCAAACCTTCGGATAGCAGAAATTCATAAGGCAGCCTGGATACATGACCTGGCCCCAGTTGTTCAAACGTTGGATAGCGCTATCCAACGTTTGAACAACTGGGGCCAGGGCCCGGTTGCATAAAACGTCCGTAACAACTACGGGTATACGTACGTGCACTCGTAACTTAAGTGAGTTGCATTAAATCACTTAAGTGGTCCACTTAGGTAATTCACTTAAGTGGTTGCCCTTACGATTTTCGTAAGTGTTCACTTAAGTGTCGGTCACGCAACAGAAATTACGGGCGTCGCATAAAACTTTTTTTACGGGAAAAATAGCTCGTAAATTTACGGGACCTATCTAGGTCCCGTATCGTTACTGTTTTTACTAAAGTTAACAAGATCTTTTACTAAGAAGTGAAAAAAAAAGTAATTTTCCGTCACGTAATTCGTTCTAATGCGCTTTCTGATGTACACTTTAAGCCGACGTGGTGAAAAAAGAAGAAGAATTATCATTTTCAGTAGACATTGAAGAAAAATAACGATTACGTGCAAATTTCATTTTTTTTGAGAGGCTTAAAAGTGTTCGAAACGACTAAAAAATTTCGTTACATTCACCGATGGTTAGCTTAAAAAAAAAAAGAGTCAGTCATTAATAAAGTACTGTATCAAAGTTTCGTGAGCCTTTAAGTGAGCCCGTAAGTTACCACATAAAACACCGGTAAGTGTACCCATAACGGATTCGTAAGTGACCTACTTATGCAACCGGGCCCAGGAGAGTAACAGTGGTTACCACTACAAAGCCATAAAGGGTCTAAAAGCAGTGGCTGCAGCGACTTACAGCCTAGCCTCTCGGCGATTTGTAAAGCCCTCGAAAATCGCTCCGCAAAATGGGCAACACTATGGCATCATCATGAATGACCAAATCTACCTCGCCTTGCAAAGAATCACATCGTAACCGAGAGGTTGAATTAGCCGATTATTTACAAATAATTGTGATTATTTAAAAATACTACCACTAATAAGCTAACTTATGAGGAAAAATGAAAGAAACTAACAATAGAAACAATGCATGAATACACTACAGTAAAACTGTGATTTGTTAAAAAATAAAACATCAATATGCATGATAATTTATTGAACATCTCGCTCACCCACACAATCAAAGGCAGAAAACGAAATGCAGCAAATTACAATGTAAAATTTAGTTAAAACTTCAACAATTCAATTCACTCCGATTTTATCGAATTGCGAATGATATCGCAATTCCTCGTTGTACTTGTAGTGAAATTGATTTCTTTGAAAAATAAAAATAAAAATCAGGGAGGAAATCTTAAAGTAAAGCACTGTCTTGTATTTCGAGTCAAGTCTTCACGGGCTAAGGAAAACTATAGGAAGGAGACTCTTTTGCGTCTCTTATACATTGCTAATTTTTATTATATAATAACAATGATAACAAAATGTGCACAGAGAACGGAAGTGGTTGTATTGCTTTTGTAACACGGTAAACCATAAAGAACACCATAAAAGGTCTAAAACTAGTGGTTACAGCTGTACACGGCCTGACTTCTCGGTGATTTGTTCAGTCTTCGAAAATCGCTTCGCAAAATAGGCGACACAATAAGCTTTATGATAAATGTCCAAATCTACCCCAACCGTGCAAAGAGGTACAAAAGTGGCCACTGGACAGTTTCTCTATACTGTGTATAGTCTTATATGTCATCAGAAGAAGGGAATCAAAATGCTTCAGCAACATGTTAGCAGTAATATAAGGGCAAGTGGTAAAGAGCTTTTTTCCGTTTGCCCCTATTTTACCACGATCCTCTTGTGGACTTTCAGTGCTTGTTAAAAACTGAATCTCAGTCTCCCTTCAATGTCCCATCTGCATTACCCGCACTCTTTGGTCTACTGAAGGATGTCAATTATTGGACTAACCACTTGAATTGAAACGTCCAGCACTTAAGAGTAGTCACTGTAGTCAGAAAACATTCCAAAAATTTGCGTAAGTTAAGTGGTCGGCTCCTAAACTTAAGTCAGGATTACCTACGTTTCGGACGTTTCTCCTCGAGTTAAGTACAAATTTGTGGATTTCTGGGCAACGGCATTATATCCGCTGTAACGATAAAAAAAATGATCCTGGGAGAGAGAGGTTAAATCCATCTCTATGACAACCAAGTCCAATGAATACTTGGTTCTCTCGATCTTTATACGAGAAAGTAGTTAACCTTAAAGTTTCCTCAACGTTTTTTTTAAAATCAGCTTTCGACTACAAGTACAACGAGGAGTGATATTATTCACAATTCGAAAAAACTGGAGTGAATTGCATTGTTAAAGTTTTATTTCATTTGCTGTCTTTTTTTCTCTACCCCTGACTGTGTGGGTCAATTGTTTCGAGGTGAGGTGGTCGATAAAATCCTTATAATACTTGTTTTCCTATCCGTGCCTTTTTCTTAATATGCAGGATTAAATAGAATAGATAAAGAAATAAATCGCAGGTACAGTACTATATAAGTTGCTTTTTATTACAGAAAAGTGAAAACTAAAGAGAAAATATTTCGTTGTATTTACAGCAGTATATCCTGTTAAGAGGCTTTTACTGAAAACTATCATAGCCCTGGTGTGTACAGGTTTAGCCTTGTAGCATCCCTATAAAGCTAGGCCCGCACATTAGACAGATTAGGCTGATTCACGTTTACGCCAAACGGCAGACGTGCATGAATTTGTACCACGTGACCAAGTTTTCCCTTTATTTCCGTTTACTATTTATTGCTTCTACACAAAAATATGTAGTCTTATGCCAGTTTTAACCACAGGTATCGTTCGGGAATGTTTTTATCTGCTTATTTTCTATTCTGAGAAATTCTTAACTTGAGTCTGACGTTTGCCGTTTGCGTGAAACGTGAATCTTAATCTCTCTACTGCATTTTTCCATCTTCCCTAGGAGCCTGCTTACAGGCAACATATTTTCCAGAAAGCCCTTTAAATGAAAAAAGGGGTAACGTTGTTATTTTGATCTTTAAATAGGCAAATTTAACAGCAAACTGTTCTCTACGATTTTTTATGTCCTAATCTTACCATGAACAGTTTTAGTTAAGAGAAAACTAAAATTGGAGCAGCCTCAGCGGCCACCAAAACAGCAGACTATGGAATTTAATAAAGCCGCGGCCACAGTGCGATTGGTGATTCCCGTAAAATGAATCAGTAGCTTGGGAAAACAGGCTCCCCAGAGACGTTTTGAAAAGTCCCTAGAAGAGCGAAGAGCGAGGAGAGACGACTGTTTTCGCAGGCAGGTATTTAAAATCAGCTGAATAGCGAAACTACTTTCAGTTTGATTGTATGCTAAGGAAAACTAGGAAGGAGACTCTTTCGCGTTACCCTATCCCTGTCACCCCTACCCTCCAACTATCGCCCAGCCGATCTGACTTGTTTCTGAATTTACTCGGCGTTTTTCTACTCTGTGAAGTCGATCCTTACAATGAACGCTTCTGATTTTATTAAACGTGAAAAAAAAAAACCTTCATAGCAGCACTCCGAAATCCTGTTGTGTTTTCAAACTTTTAAAAGTCTAATAGCGCGTAGGATTTGGCACCAACTATGTGGGGACTACATGTAGTTCTTTTGTTCTTTTTGATGATGACAACTTAATGATGACGATGATGACGACTAGATTTGTAATAAGAATATAAAACACAAGAATAAGAATATATAACACAAGCAAATACTGAATAAAGAAGTAAATAATGTAACAATTCAATTGTAAAAAA